TTAATGAACTTTCCTTTCCTTTCCTTTCCTTTCCTTTCCTTTCCTTTCCTTTCCTTTCCTTTCCTTTCCTTTCCTTTCCTTTCCTTTCCTTTCCTTTCCTTTCCTTAATTCATTTAATGTAAATATGTTACAATTTGTAACTATTTAGGAAAAATGTTTCAAGCTATGCTAGGAGCCTGCTAAAATGTGAAATTAAAACAGAAATCCTGAAATCTTGTTGCTCACAGAGCATGAGGGGTGCAGAGAGGCTGAGGACACTGTCTTTTTGAAAATAAAGGATAATACAGAACCCCCTTTCTCTCCCCCACCTTCCATGCTTGAAAACCAACTGGCCTGGCAGCTGAATTTTATTTCAACACTTTGCTTTTGTTTATTTACATCAGATTCAGAAAAATGTAATGGGAAAATCTCCTCCACCCTCACCCGCACCCATCCCAAGGCAGGAGTCTGGGGTAGAAAACACAGGGCAGGTTCCCTGGCACACAACCCTCTCCTCTAGTGCCCTGCTTTGCCACTTCCCTTGGCACTTGTGGCCTGAGCTGACTGGCTCACACTACCTAGTGTTAGGGTTGGCCCTGGGGATGACAAAGAGAAGTACTGGCACAGTGTGCCAGTGATAGTTCCCATATTAACCCTTGTCTGAGTTCTTCTCTCAGCGGTGGCATCATGAGGGTTGGTATCACCCCAGTGCAGTAATTTAATATGGAGCTAAAAAAGTGGAGATTTAGTCCAGATTTGAGCAAAAAATCTGGATATTTGTGTGAATGTGTGGATTGCACTCCATAGCTATGACAGTGTGGGGCTGGGGGTGGGAGGGGCTTTTGGTGGGCAGGAGGTTGGATCTGGCAAGTCTGGTTTGTGTGTACCATGGTTTTTTACTTTAATGTATGTTCAACCATGAGATCGGTAGTGAGGGATTAGATAGGGGCACCCCTTCCTTCTCCTCTCTCTGCCCAAGTGTTGCATTCATTTTTACTGTTTTTACTCTTCCCCAAATGTTCCAGATGTTAATGAGGAAATGTAATTACCAGTCAAGAAATATTAACCAGATCAGTGGTCAACCCACACAACCAGCATGTGCTCTTCTATCCCCTCCAATCCTGCCCCTGAAATAACTCACTGGTGTAGAGATATGCAATGTATGTATTGAAGAAGACTGGGGGTAGGGGGAGGAAGTGCATGAGATCTCCACATGAGCAAGCAAGTGAATGATTGGGGAGTGGTTTGGAGAGGGGAAGGCAATGCACACGCTCCATTTATTGAAGTGAAAACAAAAATGACACAATGATGATCAAGTGCTGGGAGGATCGGGGCAAGAATAAAAACAGTAAAAATGAATGCCACACTTGGGTATGGAGAAAGAGGGAGGGGTAACCTGATCTAACCCTTCACTGCTGGTCACATGGGTCGTAAATAAATGATAAATAAAATACAATTTTTTCTTCATTGTGTGTGTGTGTATATATATATATATATGTATATATATAGGTTGTAAATTCGATTCCAGGCAGGGCTCCAGGGACCACGCAGCCTTGCATTCTTCTGTAAGTTGCTAAAATGAGTACCCAGCTTGTAGGGGGCAGTCAGCTTACACATTGTAAACTGCTTAGGGCAGGGGTAGGCAACCAAAGGCCCAGGGGCCGGATGCGGCCCCCAAGGCCTTTGGACTGGCCCAAGGCCGGTCCTACCGCTGCCGCTGCCGCCCCCCACTGCCACAGCCGCCCGCCATGATGATATTGATTATTGTTGTTATTACTTGTTCTTGGGGTTTTCTTGGCAAACTCTCCACAGGGGGTTTGCCATGTCGTTTCTGCGGCTGAGAGAGTGTGCATGCATTTTTTTTAAATTTTAATTTTTTAAAAAATATATTTTTATTTATTTATTTATTTATTTTTGGTGCTTCAGTCCCCCAATTGTCTGAGGGACAGCAACCTGGCCCCCGGCTCAAAAAGGTCGCCTACCCCTGGCTTAGGGAGTGTTTAAGTGCACTGATAAGTGGTATAGAAATGTACTTGCTATTGCTATTGCTATTCAGAGAAAAAAGTGGGAACAATGGTTCGATGAGATCAGGGTGAAAAACAATGGATTAAAATATCAGAGGGGGTTATTGTTTTTTACTAAAGCACAAGACCAATTTTGCAGGGTAGGAAGGGAGTGGAGCAAATGTCTCAAATCTTCTTTTGCTGCTTAGAATTTGTTCATACAATAAGGAAATATAAACTACGTTCAGAATGCATGAGCAGAACTATCACCTCTCTCCTCCCATACTTTGAAGATTACTTGCCAGATTAAACAAAGCTGGAATAATAGTTCTTGTTATCTATTTCTATTTGATTAGAACATTTTTTTAAAATAAAACCCATTCGAGAACCTCCAGCTTAGAACACATTTGGAAAAACTTCCTGTCTGTAAGAACAGTTAACCAATGGAACAATCAAGTTGGCACAGTGTTTCCTTCCTGGAAAGCATTTAAGAAATGTTTTCGCGATTTTATAGTTACCTACTAGAAATTATGATTATTAATTAGATGATTATTTCAGAGTCTCTTGTTGTGACATGCTATGTCCTGTTGAGTAGTATCCTTCTAAACAAAAAATAAAGGAAAGGGGTGTTTGCTCTAATTCTGTCTCCCTGTGATCACTTTGGCTCAAAAGTCTGTTTTCTTTGGGAAAGTTAGCTGATAGGGCCCCAAAAAATTAGGACAGCAAATGGACCTTTCTTTTCAATGGGCTTGGTTGCATCTCTCCCATCCTGGTGTCCCAAGATGTATTGGGGATGATGGTGGATGCTGGGTGTGGATAGTGGAATCTGCCATTTGGGACATCTAGAGGGCACCAAGTTGGAAAAGTGGGGAAGGAATGTATCTCTACCCTATGTATGGTCTTCTAGGAACTTTAGATGCAGTAAAGCAGAACTTTCTCCCCTTTATTCAGTTCAAGACAACACTATCCTACTTATCAGCTGACACTGTGGAGTCATATTCCCATTTGTATTAAAACACTTTCACACCCACAGCCACAACCACACTCATGGGTTATAATAACCTTAAGGGGACTTGTAGTTCTACAATTGGCCTGTTTTCTTAGTTTTCCAAGTGGATTATGTCAGTGATACACGCCTCAGCATTCAGATGTATGAATTAAGACTCTGTTCACCTTTCCGTGACCAATCACAAAACAAAGCATGCTAAGTGCAAGATACAGATGTGAAAAAAGTTATGTTATGACAAAGAGATGTCTTTTTCTCTTTGACCTCTAGTTGGATCCAAGCATTATTTCATTCGGAAAACTGCACACAATCACCTTCCCTTTGCACACTTGTCATGGGGAGAATTGAAATATATATGCAGTACATTTTTGTTACTCCAAATGTACACTTTACCACTTTAAAAATATGTAATTAATCAAACATAGTTTATCACATAAAACTATATTGTTTCATGTATTTTTGAAATTAATACAGGTTGAGTCTCCCTTATTTGGAATTCCAAAATATTTTTTAAAACACCAAAATGTTTTTCATGGGTGACTGAGATAGTGACATCTTTGCTTTCTGAGCTTTGTTGCACACCTGAAATTATTAACAAACTTTGTTGCACACCTGAAATTATTAAAGATATTGTATATAATTACCTTCAGGTTAGGCATATAAGGTGTATATGATTCATAAATGAATTTCATGTTTAGACTTGGGTTCCCATCTCCACCTGTATGTATACCTGTATATGTATACTGGTATTCTGAAATCCAAAATAAATAAATAATCCAAAACACTTTTGGTCTCAAGCATTTCAGATACAGGAGATTCAACTTCGAATATAAATGCTTTTATTTTCCTCAAAAAATATTGACACACACACACACACACACACACAATGGGCCCTTGGTATTTGCTGGGGCTTGGCTCCAGTAGCCCCCATCCCATGGATACCAAAACCTGTGGATGGTTAAGTCCCATTATATACAATGTCATAATAAAATGGTGTCCCTTATCTACAATGACAAATGAAAGGTTTTGGGATTTTTGGAATTGGTTGTTTAAAAATATTTTCAATGATTGGATCTGTGGATGCAGAATCCACGGATATGGAGGATCGACTGTGTATACACACAGAGAGTGTTTATATACTTACACATACAATGTATGTGTGTGTATACATACAAACTTACACAAACAGCAATGGAGTTGCAAACTGCTACATGCTATGGTATGTAAATATATCTTTCTTTTTGCCAGTTCATAAAATGGAGGTGGAGACAGGAGGGAAATGGCAATTGAAACCCTCACAAGTGAATTAGATAAAGAAAATTTATATTATTTGGATGTTGAAACAGCATTATTATGCAGAAATAGAATAAATCTGGTATTTTTAGCTATAAAAATTTAAAAATAAAAATGTTTATACCACATATAAAAAATGGCAATACATTTCAGTATTCAATTAAAGTTCATATTTATATGACTGAACACATTTCAAATATGATTTCAGTTTATTTTACGAGTTGTTTAAGTTTTATGGTACCCAAGGTGGCTTACAAAAATAAGCAGCTACGAAAACCTGACAACATTTGAAATATAATTTTAAAAATCATCACATTAAAACTATAAACAATATAAAAAATCATTCAAAAGCATACCAAAGTTATGAAAGCCAGTGTGGTGTAGTGTTTTGATGGTTAAACTAGGTTAGGAATGCCATAAATTGGAAATGACTTGAAGGCATTCAACAATCCCATTTTGGGAGCAAGATTGTTGTGCATCTTCAAGTCACTTTGACTTACAGCGACCCTAAGACAAACCTATCATGGGGGTTTCTTGGCAAGTTTCTTCAGAGGGGGTTCAAATCCTGGTCTCCAGAGTCATAGTCCAGTACTCAAACCCCTACGCTCTCAGTGCAATAAACAAGTAAACAAACAAATAAACAAAACAAACAAAACCCTCCAATACTTTCTTCCCAGTCATTAGACAGCTATTTTCTCTAGTCTTTAGAGCACCAGAGAGCCAGCATGGTGTAGTGGTCTGAGTGCTGGACTATAACTCTGGAGACCAGGGTTCGATTCACAGCTTGGCCATGAAACCCACTGGATGATCTTGAGCAAGTCACACGCTCTCAGCCTCAGGGGATGGCAAAGGCAAAATCTTGCTAAGAAAACCCCATGATAGGCTCATTGCTTTAGGGCTGCCATAAGTTGCAAATGATTTCAAGGCACACAACACACACACTTCTACCTCTCTGGCAAGAGAAACCCAATGATAACAGTTAACTAACAATTCCAGTAGGAGAGGAAATAGTGGCATCACTGGGTTTGGAGTCACCTGGTGTGGTAACTCATGGTGTCACCCCCCATTGACCTCCTCCTATACAGTTGTCCCTCCCTTTTTGTGGACTTGAAATCCGTGCTTTTGCTCTTCATGGGAGGGTCAAGTGCCTATTGTTATAATGGTGCTGCTGCACCCGCGTGCTGCTGCGCATACCCCATTATTTCCTATGGAGCTTGAATATGTGTGGGCTGCCATTTTTGCGAGGGGTTCTGGA